CTGCATACGTGAGTGAATGAATGAATCCCCACCGCTTTCTCCCCCTCCCCTCTCCTCTTGGTCACCCCCAGTTGCTTTCTTGTTGGAACGCCTGCCTGTTTGGCAGAAGAGCTCAGGGGAGATGATTTGGTGGCACCTGTCACTCAGCCTGCAGTGTGAGGTTCTGCTTGAGTGAGTGAATACAAAGGTAGTTAAAGAATAGCTGTCACAGTCTCATTACTGAACTTAACGTGTGACGTTGGACAAATTCCTTCCATCTGCTTTCCTGAAGAGATACTAGTCATGAGATGGAAGAGGAAGTTGATTAATTAATGAACATAGGAATGCTTGGATTTTGAAAAGTCCTAATTATTGTGAAAAGAATAGCCACACACATTTTTCTACGTTTTGGTGGCTAACTTAAGGAGGGCTGGGTTTCTATACAAATATCACCTCAGATGAATTCATAAGAGAGTAATTGCATGCCTTGGGTTTGGGTTCCCCTGTGCTTTACTTTTGAAGCATGAGTAGAAGAGAAATCTTCATGTGGCTCCATGTCCTCACAATGTCAGGAATCTTTGATTCTACCCTGAAGTTTGAACCATGATGGACAAATATTCAGCTATTAAAAGGAGCTAAGTGATGATCAGGAGCACCCCAGAAATGCAGTGGAGGGTAAGATTAAGATTTTGAACATATTTTAAAGTGAAAAATGAGGTATGGAAAGTTAAATGTTTAATAAAGATCTCAAATAAAAGCAATGGAGTCTATATCTTGATTTCATTTGATGGAGGAGTTTTTGTATTAGTTACTGAAAAATGGAGGGCAGAGGTTCCTAAACTCTTCAGGCCATGGAGCCTTCAGGAAGCTGGTGAAGACTATAGATTCCTTTGAATAACTTTTTGAACACATGAAATAAAATACGTGAGATTACTTCGTACCAACCAAATTCATGGTCCCTCCTGAATTTAGGTTCTAGGGCAACCCTATTATTTTACAATTAGGAAAACAAAGGACCAGAAAGTAAAATGATGTAGGGCATATGCTTTAACCTAAAAATAGAAACACTTTTTTTTGGCTGGAGAAACTATGGTTGTGATCTAATACAATTAAGGAATGTTGTTCTAAGCCAACCCGTATTTAAGAAGGTTTAATAAAAATGGTTTTAGTCTTGCTTTCAATTTTACTTCAGAAAAGCAAGTACTTTTCCCTTTATACCACCGTTTTTGCAAAGGATTTGCATCTGTTACAAGCAATAAACTCTCTAAATGAAATACCTGGGCAAAAATCACATCAGGTTAATAAATTTTACAATGCATTCAAGATCTGATATGAAAACCTTGCTTCTAATAAAAACCTTCTTTAAACTCTAACTGCTTTGTGCAGTTTATACCAATGCTCTAGAACACAATTTTGGTGATTGAATTGGAATTCCCAGGATGTGTTTTCTTTACCAAAGAAAAACTACAACATCAATACAGACATAAACGACTGACTCTTGGCAAGAAAAACAAGGACAATGACCAGATCCCTTCTAAAAACTCTAGGAGAATCAACAGCCCCAAACCACGGGTGTGAAATAACTGCTTGTTATCTTTAGAGGGGAAGATTCGGGATTCTGTCAGACTGCATGGCTCCCAGTCACGTGTGTGAATACCCAGCTCTTCAGGCTTGTTTATTTTACTCAACATGTGCTTATATGGCACTTCTCAGGGCCAGTTTCTAAGGACTTTATTATGAGCTGACTTACTCCTCACAATGCTATGAGATAACTATCAATTGTATCCACATTTCTAAGTGATGAAAGATAAGGCACAGAGAAGTTAACTAACTTCCCTAAGGTTGCACAGCTGGCAAGTGGCAGAGTTGAGGTTCGACTCTGGGCGCTGCCCTACTTCAAAGTCCATGCTTTCCCTTTTCTAAAAAAAATTGAACCCATACCTTGTTACCTACATGTAACCCAGTTCAGTCCTGGGAACTGCAATTATAAGTTGGAGAAACCATGAGATGATGGGTCATTTCTTTTTCCCATAGCCAAACCTCCTTCAACCATGAGATTCTCCATCTCGTTAGCAAAAGGAACCTTGTTCTCCATACAGCAGGAAAAAGCAGAGGTGTCCAAGACAAATCCGGAGCTACTTTTAGATACTCTGAGTCTGAAATAACTCTTCACGACTTAACAAAGAAAAGCCCTATTTCTGAGCACTCCTAACCTCCCTACATCTTATAGGCAAAACCACAAAGAGATTTTTGGGACTATGCCCAAGTGAAGTTTGTTCTGCAAAAAGCTTCACAATGGTGACTAGCAGGGATAGCAGTGTCTGTGGCAGCCTAGCATTTCCAGCTGACGTGGCGCTCGGCCTGCCCTGGACAGCTTGACACACATAAAAAACACACTTCGAGATCTTTCTTACATTTGTATCTCATTTTTAAACTCCTTCCCCAACCTCCCTCTTAGAAGCACTAATGTATTCCTTCATGGTTTTCAAACAGACTTATGCAATGTTCACTTGGAGGGAGAGAAGGAAGAAAATATGAGATGCCATTTCTTCCCTCAAAGAGCTTATTCCAGTAACTATGTTTGGTAAACCAAAACAAACATACAGAAGCAATACACTTCATCAGTAAGGACTAAGTCGTGTTATTACACCCCCCGTGACTTCCACTCCCACCGTATGCAACAGCATCCCAAACACTCACCTGCGCATCAGCTCATGGGACACTCCCTATACCTTGTGAGATCGAACAAGCGTTATTATGAACAATTCATAGATGAGAAACAGATTCAGAGACGATAGATAACTTAAAGGTCACACAGCCAGTAGGCAGAAGAGCTGGAATTGGAAGAACCCAGCTTTTCTGACTTTACATTCAGGCTCTTTATTACCCAGACCTGAATTACTCTACACTAGAAATATTTCATAGTTCATACAAATAAAGACCTCTAAGAAACAGGGTGAATTCATAAAGGAGATTAAGACTTTCACCAAGCTTTAAAGATAGGAGGGATTCGGGTGGAGTAGAGGAGAAGGAGAAGGCCCACCAGGGCCTGTGTCTCTTGACCTTGACTGGGGTGTGGAGCAGTGGAGATAAAGGGGCACAGAGAGGACTGCACGTCGGCAGGGGGTGTCCCTCACTATGCAGTCCACGAGGAGTCTATATGTACTTGTGTATGAATGGTGGCCAAGGAGCACAACACCACTAACTACAAGGTAAACGGTGCCCCCAGAGTCATGCAGGCACCCAGACAGAGCTGAGTAAGATGATGGTGGGCCTTGAAAATCACACCATCTTTCCCTCAGAGATGGGTCAGATAGTAGTAGAAAGAGAATGGAATGAGGCTCCAGATGCCTGGGGTTCTAGTCCTAAATCTGTGTGACCTCATTCTCTTGGACTTCTTTCTTTTCTATAAAAGGAGTATGTTAGACTAGATCATTTCTCATCTTCATTTCATCTTGAAAGATATTTGACTTCTCTGATTTGGTAGAAAGTAGGAAGCCATGGAAGATTCGTGAGCCAAGCTGACATGAGGAACATGGTAATAAATGTGCCCTCCCATAGAGGAAGGGTGGGCATGGGAAGGGTCTTCCAGGAATCTAGGCATGAGTTCATAAGGGGTAGACTAGGATGGCAGAAACGGGAAGGAAAAGATAAATACAGGAGCCATTTGTGAGGGGGAATGCAAGAGCATTTGGTCATTGACTGGATTGAGAAAAGGCCCCAGAGCATCAGACTGAATGACAGCATGGGACATTCCCCTGGCATAACGGAGAAAAGAATTCAGCATTTGGGCTTCTTGCATTGGGCTGATAGTAAAGCATAAAAGTGGAAAAATCCAGCACTCATTAGGAGAAAAGGAACTAGAAGCCGTGTGACACGGTAGAACTAAAGCTAAGTGAAAGTCATCAGCTCAAGGGAGATCATGAATGCCCCTAAGAAAATAAATGTGGAGGTTTTTACAGTGCATTAGCAGAAGAGTGTTTTTTGGTTTTATAGCTAAAGAAACAAAAGCCAAGAGACATTAATTTAATGACCTCATCTCTTTTCAGAGACTGATGGAAGGGAAGCTAGTCATACACTTTAACAATTAATATTTTAATTAAAAGAAATAAATACCTATCATAGCATTTGAAGAGAGAATTCAGGGCCCTTGACCTTCCGGAATATTTTTTTTCCATATTCACATCTATTCTTCCTGAGTCCAGAGTTTATTACTCTGGCGGTTCTATACTGTGTCCAGTTAGCTGAGCTGGAACTACGTTTCCCAGAGTCCCCTCCTCTGTGTCGTTTTCAGGGAGGGCTGGCTGGAAGATAAATTTGCAGGAGACTTGGAAGGCCAAAGTGACACATCAGCCCTGTGCTGGGTCCTAGACATCCCTGCAGCTTGTCATGTTGCTGTGACCTGCTGCCTCTCCTTGCTGGTCTGGGGGAACAGCCAGTGCACGGGTTCCCTCCTTCAGCCTCTCCTACTACTAGACCAGGCACACAGGGCTCTACGGAGAAGGACCCTGTTTTTCTGAAAGTGGCCAGTGTCATCAGAGTCCATGTGGTGAGAGACAGATACGGGCTCCAGTCGCTTCTCACAGAGTCCAGTTTGTCCTGGCTTGGAGTCCAGCTTGTCTTCCCCCGGCCCTGCTGACCTGCAGGGACTGCAGACAACAGCCAGATGCGGAGGCAACAGGCTTCCACAGGCTTCTTCGCCAGCTTCCCTTTGTCATGGCCCTGATGAGTGACTTTCTCCTTTTCCTCTCACCGTACCCTTCCAGACCTTTGCTTTCTCAGTGTCTTCCACAGCTGTGTGGGGTGCAACCCTTGCAAGAAATTCCTTGTCCCCTATTCCTCACAGTGGTTCTGCTTCCCTTTTCACACTGCCGGGCGCCTGGGTGGCTCAGTCGTTAAGTGTCTGCCTTCGGCTCAGGTCATGATCCCAGGGTCCTGGGATTGAGCCCCCCATTGGGCTCCCTGCTCTGCGGGAAGCCTGCTTCTCCATCTCCCACTCCCCCTGCTTGTGATCCCTCTCTCACTGTGTCTCTCTCTGTCAAATAAATAATAAATAAAATCTTTTAAAAAAAAGAATTAAAAAAGAATTGCTCACACTGCCTTATTACCCAGGCCTTTCTATGCCCAGCCTCCCTTTAATTGACTGTAATTTGTACCTTTCACCTATCCTCAAGGGACTATTAGCTACCAGAAAAGAGTGATGAAATTTTAAAATACGTCTTAGTATTTTTAAATAGTCATCATGATGAACTGAGAACCAATATTAAAGCACTGGCTACAGGGAGATTTGGGGACACCATCTATAGGCTTCTGGCACCTGACCCTGGAAGCCTCCACAACACCCAGAACTACCCAGTTGCTAAGTGGGAGAGGAACAAACTCCTACCTTATTTCAGCCACTGTTATTTTGGTGTTTGTTATGGCTGAGCTTGAATTCTAACCAAAAACACATTAAACATTACCTTAATCAAGTTCAGTTATTCAAGTAAGGGCACATCAAAACTTATCATTATCCTCCCTCTCTTATCCTGTAGCTCAGCCTCATAAATGGACATGCTTGCTTACCAAGCAGAGCTTCAGAAAAAGAGAGACTGTCTCTATCTTGCATAAAATGCAGAGTGGTCCATTTAATAGCCTTATGTGATGGACAGTGATCCACTCTTTCCATTCATTCTTACTTCTAACGTATCTTCATGGCAGACTGCACTAAAGCAATTAACATTTATTAACAAGGCCAACACTGGACTGTCTATTCCTGTCTTGGACTAGGCATTACCACTGAATTTCAGAAGACAAGAGGTATTTTCAATTATTTGAGAAAGTCACGTAGCCTGAGATAAACTGCCACCATTTATAAAATTTGGTGAATACTCTCTCTTCACAGGCTTGTTGTGAAGGTAAAATGAAATACTCCAAAGTATGTAAAGCCTTCCTTTGACATAATAGGTGTCAATAACTATTAGTCAAATCTAAAGCCCAAAGTACATTTTAAAAGAATTAGTATAGAATACTATTTAAAGAATCCTAAAAAGCAAATAACAAGCAGCCCCCAATAATTTTTTCCAAAATCAAACTAAGTTTCCTGAAAAGGGAAATTCTTGCTCTAATACAGTAATGTATCAAATGATATGCTAGTGACTGAGAATTTGCTGCATTTTTCAAAGTCACCCAAAAACAAAAGAGAGGGGTAGTATGAGCTGGGGAAAACTCTGACCATGAATAGGTGGGTTCTGGAAGTTTAAGATCAACGTCTCTGATATAATATGCGCCATGTTGTAATCTCTGTTAACCTGAAAGTTTCTCTGACTTAAAACAAAGAAAGCATCCTTTTCTTTTTGCTAAACTTTCCTGAGATTCTTAGTTGATTCTTGATATTTCAAAAGATTGGATCAAAAAATTGATGTAAAAAATATTTTTAGTTTTATGATGAATCTATAGGGAAAAAAAAAGATGCTGGCAAAGGAAATCAATGAGGACAATACCACCCGATGTTTATCACATGAGTAAAACTGACTGTACTTATTAATATAAAAAGAAGGTTCACTTGTATCTTGCCTTTCTGGTAGACTTTAAAGAGTTTCTAAAAATAAAAGTATAAGATGCTTTCTCAAATTTCATTAGCTTTATGTATCAGAGTAAAGACATAAGTATTGTCTGGACTGCATGTTTGTGCCCTCCCTACAATTCATATATTGAATTCTTAATTACCAATGTGATATTTGGAGGTAGGTCATCAGGTAGAGTCCTATGATGGGATTAGTGCCCTTAGGAGAAGAGACATAATAAAACTACCTAGTTCTCTCTCTTTCCATCCCTCTGCCCTGTGAGGAGACACTAAGAAAGTGGTGGCCATCTACAAACCAGGAGGGAGGCCCTCACCAACAGCCAAGTCTGCCAGCACCTTGATTTTGGACTTTGCCAGGCTCTAGCCTGTGAGAAATAAATCTCTGTTGTCTAAGCCATCTGGTCTTTGGCGATTTATTATAGCAACCCAAACTGACTAAGACAAATGTCTCCCAGGTACACACGCAAGATGATTGAATCCTGAAATAACAGTAGAAACCTGTTTCTAGGAAACTATTCATTAGTAATATTTATCATTGTTAAGTCTTAACAGGGAGGGCCAGGGTTCAGAAACAAGTCAGAGAGATCAGAGGCTGATGGTATTAACAGTATTTACTCTAACCGCCCATGCTCAGTCACTTATAAGCAAATCTGTCTACTCCTAGTGCCAGAGGAAGGGCCAATCTTGTCATCCATAGTTTGGACTATGTGCCTAGAGGTGTCCCTGAACAACCATTTATGACTCTGCATAGCAAAGAGCAGAGTCAGTCAGATTCCTTCTCTCATTCTGGAATTTGAAAGAGTCAATATCCAGAAACTGATCTCACTTAGAAGTGGGAGTAGACGCAAGGTGAGGAAACAAAGCTGCAGTATAAGGCCATATCAGCCATGTGCAAATCCAGTTATTCATTAACTGAGATTAAGCAGGCCAAACCTGCTGGCTGCTGACCAGAAAGAAGCAGACACAGGGAATATAGCTCAGTCAATTCAGGCATAATCTCCTTGAAGACAGCGACAGTGTCTGTCTTGTTCGTTACTGTTTCCCCAACATCTAGCATAGTTCTTTGTTACTGAAAAAAAATAGCCACTTGATATGTATCACTTGAATGAATAGTTAATGACTTAGCAGTAGATCACCAGAGAAAGCCCTAAAGTGACTTTCTTTCTCGAAACACCGTCAGTTCCTGGCACCAGAAACCTAAATTTGTCCATGAAATTCCTTCTCCTTCAACATAACCTATGTCTTCTTGTGTTCCTGAGCTCCACTACTTCCTTTTATTTGAGCACATTTGTTTGGTCCTTGATCCTTGTAAATAACAACAACAAGAAAAACAAGACTTTGTGTGAGAGAGGAAGGAAGAAAGGGAGAAGGGGAGAGAGGTTTGAGAGAGAGAGAGAGAATGAGAGAGAGGTGTAGGAGTTGAGGCTGGTAGAGAGACTACACTTTACTTCCCTAAGAGAGGTTTAGACTGGGTGAGAGACTGAAAGACAAGGAACGGCAACAAACAACCTGTTCTAGAAAACTCTAGAGGGTTTGCTCAAGATAAGTGTTTAAACTTAATCACTGGAGTAGACCAGCTATACAAAATAAGACAACCGTGTAGCTATCTCCCTGTAAATTGTTTATATTGTATTGAATGGGAGTAACTTGACTCCCATTCTCCTGCTTAATGAGTAAAGTGCTCAGGGAGGTTACTCTGGCAATAAAACAAAGGGTACTTAAAGGAATAATCCACCCTCTTTCCCAACTCATCATTTCCTGTCCTTCATTATTACTGAATGCCTCCACTAACGTGTCTTTAAGAAAATCTAAATGCTTGGATTTTTTCCATTTATGAAGAACTCAGGAATGATATGGAAGAAAATGTTATCCCAGTAAACTGCTTTCATAAAACAATATGTTCTCTTGGGCAATACATATCTTTCAAGGTCTGGTTTATCCCCAGTCAATCACTGTTAAATTATCCTCATGTGACAGATAATGGAAAACTAATCCTTCTGTTGAATACCAGGCCCGCACATTTCACAAAGGAGGTATGAGCCAAGCATACTTTCCACATTAGTAGATACATCAGGTGGCCAGTATTATCCCCATCTTACTTCTAGTAGTTATATGTAAAAGGTACCATAGCCATAAGATGCTCTGATGGTCAAAAGCAATATGTTAACATTCATAAGGGCAAAGAAGGAAGGAATAAAAAATAAAATACTTACTTGGTCCTAGACCAATTGAAAAAGCAGCAACATAAACAAGCAAGCTGGCTAAGGAAAGCCATTTCAAGAAAGCTGGGACGTCCGCAGGGTCTGTGACTATCTGGTATTCAGCTTGGCTCATTCCAGCATTTGGTAAGGTCGTCACCCCTCTCTTATCCACATCATTTTTTGTGGGCATTAGGGAGTTTCTGCTATGGGTAGTGATCCCCTTAAAGAGCTCTCTAAGAGTGTCATCACTGGCTGATAGGTTTCCTGGCCCATAAAACACAGACTCATCCAACGACTGGTTGATAGGGCTATGGCTTCTGCAGATATTGGTGAAGTTCATGGGGATGTTGAGATTCACGATGCCCATGGTCACCAATGAAGCTGCCATCACAGAGGAGCCAACACAGAGGAAGGTTTTGCTCCCAATGTGGTCTACAAGAAGAGTGGCAGGGATGGTGCTGATGACCTTGACAACTCCAACCCCCGTGGAGGCGAGGCTAGCTGCCTCATTGCTTTGGAAGCCAACAGACTTCAAAACAGTTGATGCATAGAATAATATGTTTGGCTGACCGGTGACTTGCACAAAAAATACCAATGTCAGGCCTATCATTATCCGAGTCCTCATGTTGTCCTTTGATCGAAACAGATCCCAAAAACTATACTGATATTCATCTTTCAGGGAAGATTTTATCCCAGTGAGTTCCTCCGTTGTATCCGAGATGGCTCTCAACCTTCTGAGAACCTTGCTAGCAGCTTCCTCGTGTCCTTTCATCACCAGAAACCGGGGACTTGGAGGAAGAAAATACATTGCAATTGCTTGCAAAACTCCCAAGGGAATAACAAGGCCAAACATATATTTCCAGCCATGGGAAACATTGGCAAACGCATAATTTGAAATGTAGGCGAAAAGTATGCCGATGACAATCATTAGCTCATTCAGGGACACAAGAAGACCTCTTCTGTGCTGTGGAGCAATCTCTGCGATGTAAACACATGTGGCAATTGAAGAGAGTGAAATGGAAACCCCTATAGCAATGCGGCCCACTATGAGAACCGCATAAGATAAACTGAGTATCAAGACTAAGCTTCCGAGTCCAAGGAGGCAGGATGACAAGATCATGGCAGCCCTTCTTCCATACCTGTCAATCAGGACCCCTCCAGTGAGGGAGGCCAGCAAGGCGCCAATGAGGAGGGAGCTCACAACCATTTCCTGCTCACGGCAGGTTAGGGCTAATAAGGTTCTTATCTGAAGAAGGGCCCCAGAGATGAGCCCAAGTTCATAACCCACCAGGAGGCCACTGACAGCAGCAGTGACAGATGACAGGAGAGTAAACATGCCGCAACCTACAGGCGGAGAGAAGAGACAGAGAGGTCAGTTCTGCGCTGTTATTTTCAAAACTTTATGTCTAAATGGAGACTTAACCTTGTATAAGTAAGTTTTTCAGAGCACTGAGTATAACCACACACTTAAATATAGTAAAATGATATATCAACAAAAAGGATTAGATATAAAAGGAAATATCCTTTTCTTTCATTTTTGGGAGGCGAGGGGTGGAGACATTTAGGAAGTCACTTCCTTCTATTTGTGATGCTGATGTTTTTAGTTACTAGCAGACAGCTATGCAAGATAAGCAGATGACAGATGATGAAGACTGAACAAACAAGAACACTGTTTCGTTCCCGCTTTGGCATTGGATCAGAAATTCAGACAGCCCGGTTCCTCAGGTCCTGCTGCAGGCTGTTCTCTAAAAGCAAACCTTTGAGGCAGAGTAGAGAGGATAGGAGCCTCAGGAAGTGCTAGAGGCTTCAGTTGTGTAACATGGGAGAAAATGAAGCACAGCCTCCAGGAAACCTGCCCTCATGTCTCCTTGGCCACATCCGGCCACAGTTGGCTCTTGCTGAAACAAAAGAGGGTACTGGGTGTGTGTGTGTGTGTGTGTGTGTGTGTGTGTGTGTGTCAAAGTTAAGATTGTACCAGAAAGAAGGAAGAAAGAAATGGATGCAGGGGAGGGAACCAACAACATCCATTACTTGCTCTGAGTAAGGAGGCAAGGGAATGGAACTTGGGGGGAAGAAGAACAAAAGGGACTTGATACTGTTTTACTATTTTAATGTTAAAAATTGAGGGAAAAGAGCAAAATGTTAGCAGTCATTAATTTTCAGAAGTAGGTATGTGGATGCTTATTATATATTTGTAACTTGTCAAAAATAGAAACAAAACAAAACAGAAACTAACCAAGGGAAGAGCACTGCAGGCACAGGAAACAATAGTTTGTAAGGCGTGACACAGGAAAGCATGTTTTTGGAACTGTTGGGGAGCCAGTACCTCGTATGTGGGGCACAGCAGCTTGGAGAGGTAAATAGGATCCACTAAATTTGGATAGGGACAGAGGGGACACTTCAAACAGGGTCCTGCAAGTCACAGTGATAACTTTTTATGGTTTTCCAAGTATAAAGGGGCAATGCACACTGAATGGTATGGGGCACTGATGCCAAGTTTCTTGCTGTTGGGTGCAGACTGGTTCTTCCAGGAGCGAAACTGATAACAGAAAGGAGTGTGTTGCCTTAGAGTTAACAAGAGATGATGGTAGCTTAGACTTGGATGTTCAGAGTAGACCTTGAGACAAGTAGACAGATTCAAGGGAATTTGGAGGTAAAAATGACTACACTTGTTCATGAATTGGAGTTAGAAGGTAAAGAGGTGGGTCGGAACCCAAGAGGGCCCCATGATTTGAGCCATTGGTTGGGTGATTTTACAATGTTCAATACCCTGTATATAGGCCTATATATTGTTCGAGGCAATATACTGACCGAAGGAAGACTGAGAAGAGAACTGGTTATGACTGGGGGTAAAAGGAGGAGTGGAAATCAGAAGTTCTGTTTTAGATTTACTGAAATGTTTTAATTGTTTGATCTATAAGACCTTCAGTTAAAAATGTCAATTCAGACTAATATACAGATTTGGAGCTTAGGAGTTAAGTCAAGGCTGGAGATTTGTATTTGGGATTCAGCAGCATGTATCTGGGATTTAAAATCATGGGAATGAATGGGATCACTTAGGCAGATAAACAGAGGAGCAGGAGAAGCAGGAATAGGACTGGGACCTAGGGAATGACAACATTTAGAAGAGGAGACAACAGTAAGGGAGATGGAGAAGAAAAGAACTGAGATGTGTATAAAATGGACTAGAAATGTGTGTGGGCACACATTTATCACAGGCTGAGCGAGGGCCATTTAACCCTGCCATTTCAGGGGGTTAAAAAATGCTGTTCAGCTCTAGGAAAAGAAGCAGGTCAAATAAAGTTGATCTGAATCTCTTCCCATCAGAAATATCCAAGGCATTTTACATCTCCAGGATCCTGGGACATAGGTGACTTCAAAAAATAAATCTAAAAAGACTGAATATTTAAATGGAGAAACAAATAAAAATGCAAGAATCCACGATAATATAAAATTAATTTATGAGCATGTGGACACAAACCATTAAATTGAAATTAAATCAGTAATTTATCTAGCTAATCAGAAAACAAATATTTAGTACCAGTACATGGCAGACTTTTTCCTAGGTACTGGGAGGCATATCTGTAGCGTTGAAAGAAACCACGTGTAGCTACATAGTTGCCCCCCAAGAAACTTAACATTCTAGTAATATCTCTATTATCTATCATTTATTATGTACTGCTTTAATTTTTACTTGCAAAATGACTTTAAAGTACTCTCTTAGAGGTTCGTTCATGTCTTAAACTTCCACATATTTTCCCTCATTGAGATCTTAAAATCCTCATATTTCACACACACATACACACACACACACCCCAAATGTGGTAGAGCAACATATTTCTCTACCACAAGGAGAATCAAGTCAAATTCTTACATTTGGATAAGAATACTGTATTACTTCGTATCTCTGTCGTTATTCATTTTATCTATGTTTGACATATTGATTAGCTTCTGTGCTTTGGCAATTGGTCTCTGATATTCAGATTAAAGAAATGAGTGACATTGGAGAACGAAACACTTATAAGGCAGATTGAGAGAGGCACCCCAGGAGGGGATTTAGAGGGGATACTGGGCAGCATGGGGATACTGAGGTAAGGACATGGCGTAACAGATGTCGGAACTCCTTGAGTAGCAGAAGATTGTCCTTGCCACCTTGCCCTTCTCCTTCCCTTTCCTAGTTTTCCCCCTTTATTAGGTGGGAAATAGGCCTTCCCTACCAAAAGAAAGACCCCTTGAGATACAAGAGTCCCTTCCTTTGATGCTCTATCATCCTACTTCAGACAGAGTCTGAGGTGGTGAGTTAAGGAAGAGTGGGTGTGATGGGTGGGGCAAGTCACAAAGCCTGCTTCTTATATTGGGGGGTGGTGGTAAATGCTCCTGACAGGAGAGGGATCCAGTTCCTTTGTCTATTTTCTGGACTTAGCATCATATGCCTTGTTCTTTCTGTCAGTGATCACGGGACATGGACAAATTGGGCTGTGTGCAAAGGTTATGGAAACCATCCTAGTTTGTCAATGTCCCTCTGGAGACCCAGCAGCTAAGAGTGTAATTCTTCAGAGATATAATAGAATTATTTCCTTATGAATTACTAAAAATTATTTGTATAAAATTACAAATTCTAAAATAATTTTATATATCAAATTATCTATCTATCATCTATCTATCTATCTCTCTATCTATCTATCATCTATCTAGGGGGTTGGCCTTTAAAAGCTTAAAAAGGTACACTAAGACATTCTATGACCCTATTCCCACATGGGGGGCCTACCAACATGGGTTATATGCCACAGAATTAGGCTAAGGTCTTAACCATCTGTATCTTATTTGAGGGGTTTAATTTCCCTGTGATGTGCTTTAAGGGATACTGATCAAAACAAATTTCACTCATCTTGGTACTGCTACTTTTTACTGCTGACGTTCCTATACAGTCTTCACGATGCGCATTTGGGATTTTGAATCCAGCAGCCTGTGGAAGGTTAGTTCCTAATGCTCCTGGGATTGTGGCCCTGTGACACCGTGGGACTTGACCACCGGACAATTTCCGGGGGCAATTTTATCATATAAAAACGATGAAGAGAGGGCGCCTGGGTGGCTCAGTCGTTAAGCGTCTGCCTTCGGCTCAGGTCATGATCCC